AAGCAAAAGGTTCATAAAACAAGAAGGTGATGTAACATTTAAATAGTTTTTAGCCTAAATATTGGCAAATCCTTGAATTTGTAAATCATCAAAAAATGGGGAAAACATCCAGTTTTTTTTATGGTACAATTCTCAATGTGTTACAAACAAGGACGTTTCCTATGTATAAGTGTTCTAGATTCTTTTATATTAAATCATACCCATGGTTTAGCTTAATCGCTAAACTTAAGTCATCTCATTCACAACCACATCTAGAATATTTCAAGCATGTTTCATTGCTACATCTTTTCATTCTATACTTACAAGTTAACCATTTTTAATTTGAGAATTGCTAGGCACACTATACACGTTATTTTGATTTAGAATATGTTTGGTGTTTAAAGATGTCTATTTTAAAGTAGGACAACTTTTATAAAAGTACATTAATTTCAGCCGTATTACTTCTTTTTTCCAGGGTACTGTTGATATTCGATATTTTAGCTATCCTGCGAGTTTGCTCATGTTGGCTCAGTTCTTGCTGAGTGCTCACGTTGCATCGGTAAGTACCTATACATGTCTTACGTAGACCAACTAACATCATAGACTAGTGTAGGTATTTGTGACCATTTTTTTACTTTCCATAACATTACTTGAAATTTTTATGTTAGGCAAATATAAGGCACACTATATGTTATGGACAAACTTACTTAACATCAGAAACCACACACAGGCATCACTTGAAGTTCATATCTAATCCTATTGTGTTGAAACATTCTTTTGGTTGACTGTGATTTACATCTAACACCCAAGAAGACCTACACGCGTAGCTGCCATCTTGCTCTGTCACGTGACAAGATCTGCACGCGTAGCTGCCATCTTGCTCTGTCACGTGACAAGACCTGCACGCGTAGCTGCCATCTTGCTCTGTCACGTGACGAGACCTGCACGCGTAGCTGCCTTCTTGCTCTGTCACGTGACAAGACCTACACGCGTAGCTGCCTTCTTGCTCTGTCACGTGACAAGACCTACACGCGTAGCTGCCATCTTGCTCTGTCACGTGACAAGACCTACACGCGTAGCTGCCATCTTGCTCTGTCACGTGACAAGACCTGCACGCGTAGCTGCCATCTTTGCTCTGTCACGTGACAAGATCTGCACGCGTAGTTAGCTGCTGCATCTATAAAATGAAATAACAATCTGTTAACCAACTGCAAAAATTACAGAAGACTATATACACGATCACAGCTAATAAAAAGCGTTTAACACCTGCCACACGAGCCAGCCCAGCTTCTTTAAGTATGGAGCCTAGGAGGGTCAACAAGGGGAGATTATTCCGGAAACTGGTGATTTAGGGATATTTTGATAGATCTCGATGAATGAAGCTCGGCACAACTAAAACGAGAAAACTAAATATTAATGAAAATATGACACGATGAATTCTATACGGATTATCCTCTGGTGGTACCATACTGGGCATTATACCATCCTAATATTTACTTTTTATTGGAGAAATGACATTTCTAATTTGAGAATCGCTAAGGAAATCATCTTGTATCTGCTTCAATTCCAACACTGCATCTTTGGGTTTTACTGTACCGTTAGTTTCACACAATATAGAAATTAATGATTTCTTGTATATGATTCCAATCCCCCCTTTTTTTAAAGATAACGATACTATTGTGCCCATTGTTTTATGTGTCGCTGTCAATGCAGTAATCAATTGACGAATCTCTGATTCAGCTGATATGACAAATCGATTGGGATATCTTTGAATAAGTTTTTTTTTCATCATTCGACCTGGACGTAAGTGACTGATTGTCACATAAGAGTGCTTTTTTTAAACGTACAAATCACCACTTCAAGTGTAATATCTGTGCATGTTTATAATTACACCAATAGGTCACAATAGCTTCTTAATATTTTTGATTGGTGGGAAAAAATTCCATATTTTACTAATACTGTAAGAGGCTCGCATTTTGATAAATTCATACTAGTCAAACTTCTATTGTTTCTTCCATTATGTAGTCAAAGAGCAGGCGAGCTCGAAATTTACCATTAGTATTAACATCCCCACTTGTGGAAAAACCTGGTTACTGCCTCGTTGTTGGAATTCCACCAATCTCTGAGGAATCGCCAAAAAAGTAAGAAATTTCTTCAAGTGTTTCAGTGCAAACTTGGTATCCGTGGAATGAAACAAGATAATATATTATTGGCTTTTCTATTACACAGAGTATGGATTATTCTATCTTTTTCATTCTGTTGAAGTGCTTTAATTTTGCAGAATCCACACTGGCATTTTACTAAATTTTATATTATCCTCCTTTTATTGCATGCTAACATTAAATTCTCATTACTTTTCTGTCAATTTTATTAGCTTTATAATTTTTTAGTTCTGACAGAAAAGTTTCCCATAGATTCTCGTAGAATTTATTGCAGCGTTTTTGTTTTCTTTTACCCAATAATTGAGAATTCTAGTTTTGTATGAGGTAAAAACAAAAGTGAGACAGTTTTGAACTAATGGATTCAGTGGCCATGCAGGTACAGCTTAATCATGAAGTCAAGTTTGCTATGTTACTTCTATATTGGTTTTCTCTCTTATTGGGGGGTTTAATATAGCTTCTTCTGCACATATATGTGGTGTTAATTGGGTGTAGTCGTAGAGAAAGAATCGGGTGGAATTCTGAATATAATTGTGATTAGCATACGCGGACTGTGAATTGGGGGGGGGCTCAAGGTTTGCATCCCACTACCACAAAAATGTAATCTACAATTTTGGGGCTGTGGGTGCCCCATAAGGATGTTTAAATTCCAGTACTTGGTCATGCAAGAGTAGCCCAAAAGTTATCAGTGGGTGTAACTGACATATCTGTTTTCCTTCTAGTATGTTAGCTTAAAGTTACTGGTGACTTTTCTAACATTTCTTTTATTGAAAGATGTCTACATGTAAGGTTAACATAGATCATATATCAATAAATAATAATTGAGTATCAGGCATTAAATGAATATTTTAAGTTAACGTGTTTCACATGGGAGAGGTCTTTGTCGAGAATTATGGGATGCAAAGCCGTGAGTCAAAAGCACCTTAACATCAATATGTTGTTTTTTTTTCTAGCTTCTTTGGAAAAGCATTTGAACAAGCTGGTGAAAAGACAAACTCATTTGTATCACAAGACGTTTGGGACCCGGCAGGTAAAGTAGAATTTTCAAACAGTGGTTAATCTCTTTTTCTCAACAGAAATAAAGTTTTTATTATTTATTTACCTACTTTAATTGGAAAGTACTTATTTTAATTT